TACTCACAAAAGAGAAAGAAGTCCAAACATTTGTTAGGCATGTAGTCATAGATTATCATCTTCTCATCTCCATGGATGCAGAAACCCAATAATTTGACAAGATTCACGTGTTGGATTTTAGATATAAGTATTAGTTCAGTTTTGAACTCGAGCACTCCTTGAACTGACGTTTAGGAGAGTACCTTTACCGCAATTTCTTGCCCTTCAACGGTTTTTCCCTATAATGATATATAAACACATACTTCATTTATTATTAAATTAGTGGATGTTGTCAAAGAGAGTGACGATGCCATATTTATATTGAAGCAAAACTAATATATTTATCAAAAGAAGAAATGGTTACAGATTGAACATGTATGGTAAGTGTTTATAAACGATTTAAATTATAAATAGATAGAAATGAGTGATGAATGTGTAGGTAGTACCTGTAGATCCTTCAAAATGTGTGGATAAAAAGTATTTAAGTGTTTATAAACTTGAACTAAACATAGACTAACATTGATGCGTCCTAAGAGTAACTAAGAAAGTAGGATCTCGGACAATGTTAAGAAAGAGAAAAGGCAATGAGAGTATTTCTGCAGCAATGATCAATAAATGCCTTTTCAGATACTCTGACGCAAGAATCAGGGGCTACTTGAAGCTCCAAAGGGCTGATCCTATTCAAAGAACACATAATATTCTCAATTCAAATTTACCTTAAAACAGGGCCAAACCACCCTCTCCCAGTTTGTTTGTTGACGAAAAGCTGCCCGTAGCTCTAACGATGGATGATTATGTAAATAGTCTATGATGATGACCCTATCCCCTGTCACTTTCAACTGTATGTGATTCAGTATATTCCTCTAGGGTCATCAGTTCACGTAATTCTTCCTCCTTTCTTATCCCTATCAGATGATCATCCAAAGCATCAACATAAGAATGCAAATCAAGATCATTAAGAACATTAGAACTGGAAAAGATAGAAATATCAAACTAAAAATGCAATAGGGATATTAAANGAGATGATCATCCAAAGCATCAACATAAGAATGCAAATCAAGATCATTAAGAAAATTAGAAATGGAAAAGATAGAAATATTAAAATAAAAATGCAATAAGGATATTAAAAACTCTCAAGGATATTTACAAAACACACCATGTACAGATATTGGTTTTACACTTCCACGTGTATGTCTAGACATTAGTCTATCTAGATAATAATTGCAATACTCCCCACATTAAAAATGTCAGTGCAACTACAACTCTTGAAATGAATCTTATTGTATTCTGTAGTCGTCTTCCCAGTTATTCTGTTGAAGTCAAACTATATGCACACAGTCTTCTCTTATCTTTATAATACAGAGAACCTTCTTTATAATCTTATCTTCTCCAGCTATCCGATATTGTTATAGGTATTTTATTTTTATGGAATATGAAGAAAGTTTTGAAAAGCTACAAGTGATTGGAAAGATACCTTGTTCAATTTTTCGGATGATGAACCATACACAGCCCAACAAAAGTACGACTACAATAATAACCGAAGTAATGATTTTCCAGGTCTTCCATCCTGTCATTTATCATTTGATGATAGCAAATGCATTGCTGAAAGAGAAATATCTCTATGGGACGTCAAGAATAGAGGAAAAAGGGAAGTATCGCTTCATATATCTTCACGCATATGGCGAAAAATTCTTGATTAAATGATATGAACTTACTTTTGGTTGAAGATTCTGTTTTGTTTGAAGCCTCTGAAACAAGAATGAATTGTTTAGGTTCAGAATCAGCATACTCTGTTCAAAAGTTAAAATTTTCCCTCTCCAGTATGAACATCCATATTCCAATCCACTCGTAAAGCCTACACATTCACAGTCCTTCCAGCAGTTCTCTCTGCAGTCACTCTCAGTAAGACTTGAATTATCATCAGATTCTGCAATCGCCTTGCTCCCATCTCCATTAGCGAAATGCCCTGGTATCCAAACAAATTTCTCATTATGATACCTGCAACTTGGCTGCTCCCCGTAATTCACAGCCTCTGTTATTACGATAACAGAGACTTGTGATATATCTGGATGATCAGGATCATATATATCCCCTTTAAATTTCAGCCGCAATAGAGAGAGTTTTTCGACGTTCAGGTGACAACTTGGGGTCTATTATAAGGGAGTAGCTGAAGTAATCCTCCACACCATTTGAAACATAGGTGAAATTGCAATTGAAATTGAGAACATCGGGTTTAGGGACTATATTCTCAAATTCGTTGACATTCAATCTCGAGTTCTCATCCGTATAATTTTTCACGTCCCCACTGGTCCAATAAACCAACCTCCGCCGTCGTACAATCAATCTATGTCTGGCTGGATCCCATTCTAGCGTAAAAATGCCTGAAGCGAAAATGTTTAAGGCAAACCATGATGTAAGATACCAATTTCTCCCATTCCTATGATTAACACCTAGTTTCATCCCCGGATTAAGAGTATTAGTGGGATAATCAAAGCTTTCCACAAAATCCTGCCTGCAGAACCATTTATATTCATCTCCCTCACTACAAAATTTCCCGAATTCAACAGCATGGCTGTCATATTTGTGCCATTTCCGCCTCCATACAGCTCAATAGGATTTGATCTGTTGCTTGTTACAATAAGTTTTCCAGCACTACTTACTGAGAATGCCAGAATATCCATAATAGGTTTTTCTCTGTTACCAAGCCATACTGGACGATTTGAAGAATAATCTGTGTACCATATTCCTAAGTAAGTATTATTGGTATCTTCAAGCTTATAGAATCCTAAAGTGAAAACTTTGTTTGCAGAAACTAAGGAAGCAGATGAATTTAGACTATCCCCATGTATGAGGGTGTCGACAGAGCAGGGACGGATTTAGGGGGGGGCCTCCCCCCCCCCCCCCCCCC